TCTAATAAACCAAGAAACTGATAATTGCAAACAACCTCAGTGGTGTTGTATGACTTGTATGGATGTCAGTGTCAGCTCCTGTGAGTACATTACATACTGCGTAAAAGAGAATCAACCATCAGGTCCTATATTCTTCATCTGTATATCAATGTGAGCTCCAGGAGGCACATAACACATTTGATAGAAGGGGCAATACTGTGGAACCTCATTGTACAGCGGTATTTGAGGAAGTGGGGACGTCATAAATCTCAACCCACTTTACAAAGGCTCTGAGATAGCTGGTCACATTTCCACATTCAATGTGCATGTGTCAGGCGGCTGGTTTGCTTCCTTCGCTGGTTCGTTGGTTGGGAAGTGATGTTGATCTGAAAACCTGGAATCCGCCATTTTTTGCACAGGCTTCACGTATACATAGTGAATGAGTAAGTCCACGTTCAATTAAGCAAATAGACCTGTATCATAATGGGGTTCCACTATAATTCACTTCCATTATTACCACCAGTGGCTAATAAGGCTAGGTGATTACAATCATTCAAAAAGGAACTGGATTAGCTACTGAGTAATAATAGTATTAAGAGGAAACGTCTTGACACCCGGAAAATGGATTAATTTCAAAAGGCAATTTTGAAAAACAGTCAGGATTGACACAAACACAATGGGAAAATTTCTATGTTTCAATCTCTATTTTTGAAGATAGGAAATGAAATGCTGTCCTTTGCAATCCAAATAGAAGAAACAACCACATTATATATTCATAAATATATCATGGAAATTACAGCAAAGAAGGAGCCCATTGAGTAAAATCTGGTGTTAGCTCCTCCAATAGAGCCAACTACTCTAACCCCAAATCCCTGTTCTATTCCAGTAACATTTACTTCCTCTTCAAATAGACAGAGTAAGGGTAAGACTGCCTCATGAAGATACAAAATATTTCACTGTATTAGGAACAAGATGCATTAATAATGTAGGACTTATATATTAACTTTATCACTAAACCAGCGATGGCAGAAATGAAGCAACATTATTCAAGTCTGATGGGAAGCATGAATGGATTAATATAACATCCAGACCTTGTTCTGTACAAGTCCCTCAGCTACAGCAGGAACATAGTCAGGGGAACCACCTCTCACCACTATAACTACACATAGATAATCCTTAATCTAACAACTGCCTACTTTAGAATCAAAAAATATTTAACATAAATCACCTCAAATTCCTTAACAATTGGTGTTTTTTTTGCAGTTTCTCTCCCCTTCCGGAAGCATATGCAGGGGTGGTTGGGACTGAAACCCGATCCTGCTCAAGTCTTGTTACCTGGCCCACACGTAAAAATTACTCATTTTAAAAATTAATTCAAACACCCACCCTGGGATTATTTTGCTGTAACTACAGCAAATCTGTGGGATATCTTTTGCCTACAAAATACAGTCATTACCCTTTAGAGTTTATCTTGTGAAGCACTTCCAGACGACTTCCTGACGTGAAAGCTGCTGTTTCCAATAATGTAAGGATTATTATTATTATGAGCCTTCAGAAAGGATTTTCCATTGGAACTGAATAATGAGAGCTTTATTCTATATGTAACACATGTTGTACCTGACCTGGGAGTGCTCGACAGACATGTTAGAGGGAAGCTTTGCTCTGCATCCAATATGTGGTGTACCCTCGTCAAGTAATCAAATCAATGACTTGGAGCTACGAGTCTGAGTCACAGTTCATAGGTCTCCCTGGGCTGGACCGAGTCATGTTTGTTTGCTGCATTTCGGATTCCATCACTCTTGTGACTAGAGTTCCACCCCATCCCATTAAGTAACCTGTTCCCCGTTTCCTCTTCATTTCATTTGCTTGAACAGGTCAGGGTTGTTTCCTTTCTGCACTGGAATAGGAAAGTGAGGCCAACAGCAGCTTCCTGGACACACAACCCTGACTCTCCCTTGCTTTTGTTTGCAAAATCTTTTGGGAATGATGCATGTGGCGGAGATGATAAGGAAGGTAACTTGGCCTTCACTTCCTAACATAACACTTGAACGATGCATTGGGGAGTCTGGGTGTCTCAAATCTTATATCATTTTGCCCAGAAAAGGAGGTGAAAATTGAGTTCTCATTGTGACCGGTTTTCCTGAACCCCACCTAAACTTTTACTGATTTTAAGTCTACTTCCCTCACACTGTCAGAGTTTGGTAACTCAGGGCCATATATTACAAAATGTAGTACCTAAATTCCATACTAATTTGGTCTTTAGAACAAGAACAGCAACAACAAACTATATTTGCATAGCGCCTTTCACGTCAAGAGAACGTCCCAATGTGTTGGCCATTTTGGCTTAGAATTTAAAATTGCACAGAATTGTGGAAAAAAAAATCAATATTGATACAAAAATCAAGAACTGAGGTTTCAAGAACTGAAATCACCTGCTTCCAGGTTAAGATTAAACTGAAGTATTTTTCATAATTCTGTGTGATTTTAAATTTTAAAACAAAATGGTCTTGCAGACAAACACAAGATGAAATTTTGGACCTAATATTTCTACTGATGTTACTTGCATTATCTCACTATTTGGCTCAGTATTTCTTTCAATCCAATATAGGTGTTAATCTGGCTCAGTTTGTACAAAGCACTCTTGCTTCACCTGGCGCTTTGGGATGTCCTCCTGACGTGAAAGGTGCTATACAAATGTCATTTGTTGTAGTTGTAGAGGCAGAAGGCTGTGGGCTCATTCCCCATGTAGAGCTCACAGACTATGGTGACACTATAGCCACCCATTCCAGTTGGAGATGTCGTCCTTCAGAAGAGATGTATATCATATACAGACACGATGGGCTGAATGGCCTTCTTCTGTGCTGTATAATTCTATGATTCTATGAAGGGTTATTATCCTAATTATAGAAAAGGGAGGGCGTCCAAAGTGTGAAAAGAGAACACTGAAAATAGGATTGGAGAGTCTGTGGTTGGGAAGAATTGTTGAGCCCAGCAGTAGAAGCTGGATTAATGTTAGACTTCTGAAATAATAATAAAAATACTGTAAAACCACAGCTGGTCAGTCAGCATCTGAAAGAGAAATAATTAATTTTGTGGGTTTGAGGAGTCAGAACAGACTGATTAATAGTTCTTTCTCCTTTCAGATACTGATTGACTCGCCATGAATTTCCGGCATTTGTTTTTATTGAATGACTCCATTCTTCAATAGAAATAATGATAAAAATGATTGGTTTGGGCTCCAGCTATTAAAGCTACTGTCTGTGTCTTGCCCGTTAGCTTCTGTCTTATCCTTGAAGCCTTGTCATGTTTCAGACCCATGAGAACCTTGGCAAGCTCTTGGACACCTGATCTGTTGAAACTCCATTAATAGTCAGTAAGTTGCAGCTGAGATGTATCCCAATCAAGCCAAGGACTTTCCGCCAATCGGTATGAAATAGAATCCGTCTCTCAATCCAACCTAGTGCTTAAAATTCCACATTTGCTGTAACAAGTCTAACGATTTTTTTCCTCGTCTCGAACAGTCATTAATTCAGTGTTTACAACATCTGGACTCCACATGTGCACTGCCACCCATACTTTATTTCATACCGAATTTAAGTCATTCAGTGCTCCACCCCACCCCAGAAGTATTATCCTTTTTGCATGAGGAGCGCAGTGGAAATGTCAGCCCACACCGATCTTCACAGATACAGCCAATACCAGTCTCTTCGCTAACCACAAGGAATCATATAAAGGCAATGGACAAGCTTTGTGCATTATTATGAATTCCTGCACATTCCTGCAACCGACTACTTTTATCCCTGGCCTTGTTGTATGCGTGCACGTGAACATCACAAAAATACATATGCTGCACTGATATGTACAGAACATTGAATTATTAAAAATAGTAATTCTATGACTGACTTTTTATGAACATGTTATATTTTGTTACCAAAGTGAAAATCCACAGTCACATTTCCTTGAAGACAATTGTGAGCAGCAACTTGTATAACATTTGCATTGTTGCCGGATAAAAGATCATACAAATGCAGCACATCTGTTACTCTGTGGTTAGAGTTAACATCTGTATGTGGAGCTGGGAAAACTACAATAGACAGTGTGTGTAGGGGGGGAATCTATCATACTCTGATAGCTAAAAATACTGACTTTCCATTATGTCTTTAATTTCCTCCATAAGCTCAATCATTCGCCGTAAGCTTCAGTTGACACTGTTTCTGCAACCCATATTTTTTTCCTGCACCAAGTTCTGCATGGCTGCTAATAACACAGCGGATCAATTTTACAATTCCTATCCTGATCTCCAACCTCACGATCTTCGCTACCTCTGCATTCCATCCCAATCCCAGTCTTCTGGCAAACGATCTGACTCTCATTCACTGCTCTTTCATCAATCCCTCCATCCAACCTTTGATAACCAAACAGTAAGCCACTGTGCCCCAAAACTCTTTCCCTTTTATCTTCACTCCCTGTATTTTCCCACCTTGGCACTCAGTTCATCTAACTCTAACCACCTGCCTCGCAAGCGAGAGGATCTGGGTTTGATTCCCGGGCAGGAACCTGGTCGTTAGTTGATTGGCGGATCGCTTTCTGGGAGTAATAATCCCTCCAAAAAAAATGTGGTCACGCGATCTACTATTTGTGTGACTCTGGTGTGCACGATTGCCTGCTGTGGTTCGCCCACAAAACAAACAAGCAATTCACTTCACAGTATATTCTGTGAAGCGCTCTGAGATGTCTCAACGACGTGATAAGGGCCTATATTAAATGCAAGGAATATTATTCTTATTAACAGTTTCCATGCCTAAGAGTGCTTGAGACACCCAATAAGGAGAGAGGAATGTAATAATATACATTTTAAAATTGCAACAACAACTTGCACTTAATATAACACTTTCCATTCAGGGTAACGTCACAGAGAAGACAAACCTATGTATGATTTGAAATCCAAACATGAGATTTAGAGGTCTGAAAGCAGAGCTCTGAAACTGTATCAATTGTATTAATTCGAATGCTGCCTTTACCTTCTTCATCTTCGTCCTCCGGGAACATCGGCGGAGGGAAGTCCTCATCTGAAAGGAAGAAAAGTAAAATGTTACGATTTTTGTCAAGGAATGTTTTAGGATACAGTCCCAATGAAAGAGAGGGCTGTCGGCTGTATCACAGGGCTCTGCTAGGGTTTGTTTGTAACCTTTTCCATTCAAAACTACATGGTAGCAGGCCAGGAGAGGAATGTCCTGTGGGGAACATCCAAATAGAGTAAATTTGAGAATATGTCAATTTACTTTCTTTTCCTCTCCCAAAAAACAAAGGAAGAGCACGAGCTTTGTGGATAATTTACTCACAAAATATACAGTCGATTCATTTTGCAGAATATCCTGTGAAGCGCTTTGAGACATCTCAAAGACGTGATAAGGCCCTCTAACAAATGCGAGGATTATTATTATATTGTTTATACTTGTCAGCTTCCCTTTATCTTTACAAGTTTAGTAGAGAAAAAGGTTGAGTGTCACTCAATACAATTGTGTTTGAAGCAGGATTTGCAAAGCATTTCACCCTATTGAAGAACCAATGTTTTTGAGATCAGTTTGCAATTTTATAGCATAAACAGTTTTTTGCAAAATTCTTGTTGATTCGTAAACTCTTCCATCACAATACTTCTCCCTCCTCCAAGAAATGCTGGCAGCAAACAGTTGGTTTCTGAGATTTTGTTCCAAATTCGCTCTGTCTACTGTGCTCTTTATTTGTGACCAATGAAAATCAATTTAAATCAGTTCAAGAGTCTTTGCTTATTTATAAATTTGATCTGAAGTTGGCTGAGTCAGTGGCTGTGCGGACCCGGGGGAGTCCAAGTCACACAACACATCTCTTCCAAATGAATCAGGTTTTAGACTGGAGCGGTCACACACAGATACATAAACTGATTAGCATCGACTGGGAATAAATTTAGGGAAGTGGATGAGTGCTTTGCTCAAGCTGCTCATCCCTGTGTCACTAACACAGGGCTTGTTGGGTCACAATAAGTACAGCCGTGTATTCACTCCCCTCTCCCATGTAAATGAAAGATCCTGACTTTTAATCGAAGAAAATTCTTTTGATGGTCATCATCATTTTCAACAACAAACTGTATTTACATTGCACCTTCACACTGGGGCACTGTCTCGGAGCACTGAACAATGGTTGAAGCTGGACACGTACAAGGGAGAAAAAGAAGCTGACCATAGGCAGTGGTCAAAGAGGAGTCTTCAAGTGTGATCTGAAGATGCGCAGAGGCGGCAAGGAGGAGGGACCGAGGCAAGGAATTCCAGAGGTTTGGCGTGGTGGCTGAAAGCACACCGCCAATGGTGGACCGGAGGGGTCGACGGACACTCAGAAGCCTGGATTTTCCTCCACCTTCATTCATCTCTCCTTTTAAGAGCCTCTTAAAAGGTTTTTACTGTGGGTGGGGGAGAGCGGGAGGAAAGGATCTGTGTGGGTGGAGTCACATAGCTTAGTGGTTAGGGCACTCGCCTTGCAAGCTGGAGGACCTGGGTTTGATTCCTGGGCAGGGCGAAACATGGGCAAGTTTCCTTACTCCACACGCCTCTGTTTACCTAACAGTAAGCAGGAACCCAGTTGTTAATCGATTGGCGGATCACTTTTCCAGGGGTGATAAATCCCTTCAAAAAATAAATAAAAAAATAAAAATAATTTGGTCACTCAATTCACGACACTGTGGGGCACTGCTGTGCACAATTGGTGCGTTTCTCCCACGAAATATACAGTCAATTCACTTTACGGTATTTCCTGTGAAGCGCTTTGAGACGTCTCGAAGACGTGGTAAGGTGCTGTATCAAATGCAAGGATTATTATTATTATAAACCAGGACGAGAATAGCAAAAAGGTAACTTGGCTCATCAAGCCCATTGTTTCCTATAAACTGTGAACAAGAGGTATCAGCGTAAGCTCTCCCGAAAGTGTTTGTTGGGGAGCGTGAATAAATCTCAGGGAACTCTTCCAAGAAGCAAGTTTTGAAATGTCTTCTTGACCTCCAAAGCCAACCAAGTAACAAACCACAGGCGTTCAATGCAACATTGTTCCACCCTGGCCGCCTGCATTCCACACATGACATTCCCATGATCCAAAACATAGATCTTGAGAAGGTAAATATTGTGACACAGAATGGCTATGCTAGGGCTGCTGGTATGTTCTAGCTGTTGACACCACCAGACGGACAAAAATGAAAATAGCCAGAGGTCAAAAGGAAATACTGGAACTTATATGTAATCAGAAATTAATGTTCCTATACATGTAAAATACGTTGGGAGTTTCCAGCTCTTCCAATGCTCCCTGAAAAAATACACCTTGGCTGTGTTCGTGTTACAGAGCGGACTTGATTCCTAGCCTCAGTTAGCTGATCTCAGACAGGGGAAATTCAACGAGTGGTCTGACACTGTTAGCCTGTTTAGGCTCACACACAAAGAATGGCTACTTGGATGAGCCATGGAAGGGGGTATAACTCCAGAGAAAGCTAAACAAAAAACAGATCATTTTAAAAGTGTGGGTCCTATCATCTTTTCGACCAGCCTCCTACTGCATCTCTTCTACATCTGTCCTCTCACTGTTCTAATAGGGAAGGCACCTAGGCCATCAGATCCTGTCAGGAGGCATATGCCACTGGAACTTGATCAGGAACAGTCTGGCTCCATCTCCCCACCAGAACAGACCTCCATTAGTTACATGCAGAAACACAATTTAGTCACTTTAGACTTTTTTTGTTGAGGTTCACAATCCTCATGTCTTATTTGAAATTGCTCTCAGGAATTCACAATTTCTCAGGGAGACAGCGACTTCAGTTGGCCCCACAATACTCATCACTTCTGATTGTAATTATTCTACTGAGGGCTGTGGCCAAGTGGAGGCCAGACATTTGCCACAGAAATCAGAGTGAGGAATGGACCATAGACAATATAACACATCGCCAACAAGCTCTCCCTTCTCCTGCCACTATCTGCCCATTTATTGCTCTTTCATTCTGACTGTTCGGTACCTAGCGAGAGTTACTCTCACTTTGTTGTCAACAGTGATAAAGAGAGCGGGTAATTACAGAAAGACATTATCAGGGTCTTAGCAGAGTGGGCCGAGGTGTAGAAAATAGAGTTCAATATAAAAAAATCAAGTGTTGTAATTTGGAAAAAATAATGAGGAGCAAACTTATACCTTAAATGGTAGAATGGAGAAACAGATAGATCTGGGGAACTAAAACATAGTTTGTTAACTATGTAGGACTGGAGATAGAGAAGGGCGTTAAAAGGGTAAACAGGATTCTGGGTTTTACAGCCGTTAAATACAAAAGTAAAGAAGTGATGATGAATCTGTATAACACATTAGTTAGGACACAGTTGGAATATTGTGTTTAGTTTTCGAATGCACATTATAGAAAGGATATTAAAGCCATGGGAAGGATACATCATAGCCTCACAAGGATGTTCCTGGATAAAAAAGGATATAGCTATGAGGAAAGGCTAGAGAGGTTATTCTTCCTGTTGGTGTAGAGAAGGTTAAAGGTTCATGGCAGATGTTAAAGAAAATAAAAGTATTCAAGAGAATTAATCACGAAAAACATTTTCCACTTTTAGGATGTACTGTGAAGTGGATTACCTGCATATTTTGTGGGCAATAGAATCTTTAATGTTCACCTTACAGACAGATGGAACCTTAGTTTACTGTGTCACCTGAAGGATCGTACCTCCAACAGGGCCATCATGGAAAGGAGAAGAAGGAAGTAAAAGGAGAGGTTTAGAAGAACTTCATCTCCTAAATGGTTAGGATGATCCAAGTCCTGACCTGGGGCTTGAAACCACAACCTTCTGACTTGGGAGAGAGTGCTATCCACTAAGTGAGACTGACATGGAGTAGGTATTAAGATGGACAGCTCCTGGCAGGAACAAACCCAACATGAAACAATGGGCCGAATGACCTCCTACTGTGTTGTGTATTTCGGTGGTTCTATGCTGGTAATTTTTCAACCTTTGGTGTGGTGTGAGTTATTGTTTAATATTAAATGGACTGATTTTTCACATTGTTTTTATAATAGGATTTCCAAACCTGAATAGCATGAATAGTAGAGACGAGCACACCCTCACGTATAAAGGTCACTAAATGTACTCAGTTTTGGCAGTGACCTGTGCCAAGTCCCATTCTGTTACTCTCCAAAATACCTGTTTGCTCCAAATGCAAACAAAACCGTGCCCATCACAAGCTTATTGCCGCAATGCGCTTGGTTACCGCATAGAGGCGGCTGGAGATATATGTGAAAAATTACAGTATCAGGACTCTGGGGTGACATTTCTAATCTCTGAACGAAGGCTATTCAGCAACCTCTATATATCACCAAGCCCAGCTCAGCAGGCAGCATATACTGCAGCAATCTTACAAGGCTTGCAAAGTGGAAAATAAATAGGAAAAGAGAGACACTAGTTTCAACAAAGGCACCTGCTGGTCTCGCCTGGAATGATATTCACCCCATCGTATTTTCTCTGCTATAACTCATACTGTGTCAGACTTGGAGTATGTGAAAGCTGATCCCACCGCACAGCTGAGAAAGTCCATTCTAAGTGCTAAGCTTCCAGCAATCCACGTGCTCACTATGATGATTCAGCGAAAACATTTTGTTTCCTTTGTAAGTGATACTGAGAGTTGTCCTTGGATTTCTTAAATTCACTAATAGAGGGCCATGGAGGAGATTTTATTTTGAAAGTCAAGCAAGTGACACTTCTGTTATCGCCAGATTGGAAGTGAATATTCTGCATTGCCTTGCGGTTTTTAACAAGCAGAGCAAGTAACTGACTTTAAACCTTCAGTACAGTCCTGTAGCTCAGTGGTTAGAGCACTCGCCTCGCAAGTGAGAGACCTGGGTTTGATTCCCGGCCAGGGCCAAACCTTGGACAACTTTCCTTACTCCACACGCCTGATAATAATCCCTCAAGAAAAAAAATAAATAAATTGGTCATTTCAATCCACAACTGTTTGTGGGACACTGCTGTGTGCAATTAGCTGCCCATAAATATACAGTCAATTCACTTTACAGTAT